TTGTGGATAATGCTCTCGACGCATCCGAAGCATTACGAGATCTCCCACGTTGAATGACTTAAACCGGCGATGGCTCTCAGCATTTTGCTTGTATTTGTAGTTGGCCTTTTGAAGATTTTCCTTGACAGTCCGGAGAGTGTCCTGAACTTCATTAATTGTTTTGCCAGCTAAAGTTTTGCTGCCTTTAGGTAGAATGGCGAGGTCTACCAATTGGTTGGGAATTTTAGTGTAGACTACCTGAAATTGGCATAGTACAGTAGATCTATTGAAAGAAGCATTACAAGCAAACTCCGCATGACATAGCATTTCTTCCCATTTCTTGTGATTTTCCTGCACCAAACATCTCAGCATGTTTCCGAGCGTGCGATTGACCACTTCCGTTTGGCCATCGGTTTGTGGATGATACGCCGAGCTGAGTTTAATGTCGTTTTGAGCCTTTTCCACAACTCCCTCCAGAAATGGCTCACAAATTTCACGCCTCGGTCGGAAGTAAGGCTGCGCGGCACCCCATGTAGTCGGACTATTTCTTTGAAGAAAAGTTGTGCTATATTAACCGCGTCAAAGGTTTTTTTACACGGGACGAAGTGCGCCATCTTCGAGAAGCGGTCAACCACCACCATGATTGAGTCGGATCCCCTCTTGGTCCGCGATAAGCCCAACACAAAATCAAGTGATAAATCTTCCCATATAGAATCGGGAATGGGTAGAGCGAGGTAAAGTCCGGTATTTTGGGCAGTACCCTTGAATCGTTGACAAACGAAACATTTTTCAACAAATCTTGTGACATCGCGCCGTAAGTGCGGCCAAAAGAAACGCGATTGTAGCAGCTCTATAGTCTTATCCCTTCCCAGGTGAGCTGCAAGTCCTCCACAATGCAGCTCCCGGATTAGTTGAGCGCGCCATGAGGAGTCTGGGATACAAAGACTATTTCCTTTGAATAAAAACCCTGCTGTAAGGAATAGTCAAGCTTTGGGTGTCCGGCTTTACAAACTTCCCAGATTTTAGCAAAATCCTTGTCCGAAGCATAGAGCTCTTGCAACGTTTGTAACCCTGTAATCTCTGTTTGCAAGAGGACGAGCAAGGCGGAACGTCTACTCAACACATCGGTGACTCGGTTACTCCGCCCCGCCTTATGTTTGATCACAAAATTGAATCGCTGAAAAAAAAACTATCCAGCGAGCGGGCATCCTGTTAACATTCTTCTGACTGTTAATATACTGCATGGCGTGATTGTCGCTGCACAAAATGAAGTCGCGGTGCAGCAGATAATGTTCCCACTGTTTAAGTGCACGGACAACTGCGTATAATTCCTGCTCATATGCCGACCAATTCTGGCGTGATGCACTTAATTTTTCACTGAAGTATTCCACTGGTTTCCCGTCTTGCGACAGAACAGCTCCCACTCCTATAGAGGAGGCATCCGTATCTACCTGGAAGGGCTTGTCAAAGTCGGGAAAGGCTAAAACCGGTGCAGAACTGAGAGCGGCTTTTATCAACTCAAAACTCTGCTGTTGATCCCGCCCCCATGAAAATTTCGAGGACTTTAAACAATTGGTGATGGGTGTTGTGATCTCCCTGAAACCTTTGATGAAACGTCGGTAGTAGTTGGCCAAGCCATGGAAGCTCCTCACTTCCGTTATGAACTTGGGTGTCGGCCAATCCCGGATGGTCGTAATCTTCTGGAGCGACGTCTGAATTCCGTCGGATGACAATACAAAACCCATGAATTGAATTTCAGCTACGGCAAAAACACACTTATCTAAGTTGATAAGGAGCTGGTGGTTACGGAGCGTTTCAAAAATGGACTTCAGCTGGGTTAGATGATCAACAAAAGATGAGCTGAAAACAAGTATATCGTCAAAATACACAACACAGCACTTATCTAAATAAGGTTTGAGGACGTTGTGCATTAGCCGCATGAATGTGGAGGGGGCATTGCAAAGCCCAAACGGCATAACTCGCCATTCGAATAAGCCCTCGACCATCTTGAAAGATGTCTTCCACTCGTCTCTGGGACGAATGCGGATCTGATGATAACCGCTCCGGAGATCTAACTTGGAGAAAACAGTGGCTCCCGCGAGCTTATCCAGGAGATCGTTGATCCGGGGAATGGGAAATCTGTACTTGACGGTGATGTGATTTATTGCGCGGCTGTCTATGCATAGTCGCCATTGTCCGTCCTTTTTTGGAACAATGAGCACCGGAACGGCACAAGGACTAAGGCTTGATTGGATGAACTGCTTTTGCAACAATTCTTGGACAATCTGGCTCAAGATCATATGCTCCTTAGGACTCATCCTGTAGTGGGGAAGGTTTGGTAGCACCACGCCGGGGATAAACTCGATCTGATGTTGTAGTGTCCGGAGGGGGGGTAGGGAAGGCTGCAATTCCAAAGCAGTTATATCACTGAATTCCTGGAGTAAAGCTTGAATGGACTGATGGATCACATTTTTCTCTTCCATAGTAGGGTCTTCTACCACAAGCGCCAGCACGGTATAATGGTCATCCTGGCTCCTCAAAAGAGCTGGGAGGGCCAGACACGACTCTTGCGGACATGAGGCTGTGAGTGGACGATGGCGAAGGAGCTGCGGCACTTGCGGGTAGGAGTTTAAGCTGTTTTCCTTTCCACTCAAGAGTATATGTGTTGGCTCGACCGTCGTGCACCGCCCTATTGTTGTATTGCCACAATCTTCCCAAAATGAGATGACAGACGTCCATGTCTATGACATCGCAAGTGACATGACATAAGTAACTTTTGCCAATTGAAAAGGCCACTTTGCAAAGGTCAGACACAGTAAATTCCGAACCCTTCTTAATCCACCCGATTTTATATGGATTTGGATTTTTTGTGACTTTGAGTTGGAGCGCCTGTACCACCCCTCGAGAAATAATATTCTCCGTACACCCGCTGTCGATCACGACATCACATACCTTTACATTGATAGTGCATTTGGAACGAAAAAGGTTATCCCGTTGATTATTAATTGATTTCCTTGGGGCAATGAGTAGCTTCTCAACCAATCAGAGTACGGGTTCCCCTATGTCCCCTTCAATCTCTTCGCAAGCCTCGTCAACCTCCAATTCATTTTCCTCCAGCTCGCCTTCTTCATCCCCTTCGATGAATTGAGCTTGATGTCGAGAGGGGCATTCATTCGATCTATGCCCTAATTGTAAGCATCTAAAGCATTTACTGTTTGACGGTTTGGCATAGAGATTATCTCGGCCTCCAGCTGTCCGCGGCCGGACAGGTAATTTGTCTTCTCCTGTTAATTTCACTTCTGTTGGCCTCACTGGATTCGAGCTAGATGCGAGATCCTTGGCTTGAGTCCCTCCGGTCTTATAATTCCCTGAATTAGTCTCAACGAAGGTCCTTCGAGCAGCTATTGGTTTATACGATCGTTGCAATTGAACTTCGGCCTTAAGAGCGAAATTCACTGCCTAGGAAAGTTTCCACACCGAATTGAGTTCCAGTTTATCCTGAATTCCTTCCTTCAAGCCGCCAGTGTAACGAGCGATCAGTTGGTTTTCTGATTCCAAAAGATTGTTGCGGGCGCTGAGCCTATAAAACTCCTCTGTATACTCACTGACAGAGCGTTTTCCCTGCCTGCAGTGCTGGTATTGAATGTACAGGAGCTGCTCGAAATCCGTGGGCAAGAAATGCTGCCTCATCAATTGCTTCATGCGGCTCCAACTCTGCATCGCTGCTCTGCCTTCTCGACGACGGCTTTGTGGCCATCTCATTCTATCCGCTCTGGGTATCGGGAACTCCTCCTCCGCATCCGATGGTTCTTCTTCCGAAATGGCTTCATACTCTGAATCTGTAACTTCCGGGCATATAAGAGGACCCCATCTCGGAAGGGTTTCTCCCCGCAAATGTCTTCTGGGCGCTGGTATGGTTGCCAGAACTGCCGGGTGGGCTACTGGATTGGTAGCCACCCTTACTTGCCACATTTCATCGCGCATTTCGTCCGCGAATCGTGCAAAGTTATTGATGAGCTCCTCCAATTGCTTGGATGTTTGCTTTTGCGTTTCCCACAAAGCCTCCAAGCTCCGATCACCGTCGGTCCTGGGTCGGCTGCTCTCCGCCATTGATGTCGGCACTAGCTCTAATACCAGTAATGATGCAGCGGCAAACAGTAGAAGAAGAATGAGCCGAAGGGAAGAGCAATGAAACAGTAGAGTTCCTTGCAGCTAACTAATATTATTGTGTTAAAAATGGATAAGCTGAGTCTTTCTCTAAACTTCTACGGCCATATAAACTAAAGAAAATGGAAACTGTAAATAAAAAAAAAACAGCGGGAAAGTAACTAGTCCTAGGCATAGCAGAAAAAGGGAATTCTCAGAGAATAAGGGGTAGTGGTAGTCCTCTTAGCTCCAATGCTCCGCCAGAGAAGCGTAGCCTAACTGATGTTCGCATCACTAGTTCTTCCTCAAATCATAATTTATGGAGAGTATAATAGGTTAATCCCATTTATAGTAAATCACGTTAACCTCAACAATATGGATTCCTTTTTTGAAATTAAGATCATGTAAAAAGTTAAATAATAAAAAATTGATCCCTAAACAGTAAAATCATACTTATCATAACAATAGGACTTCCCTGTAACACATGTCCTAAATCTGATTACACAATAAACTCAAATATAAGTTGTCAAATAAGCTTAATAGAAATCCCAGATCAAGATTTAAAGATGGATTGTGTTATCATACAGTAAGATTAGACCAATACCGCCCAAATTGCAAAAGTTATGATAACCAGCATAGGTTAAGAAAATAATTTGTTAAAGAACTTGCATTGACCTGTAGCTATACTAAAATGGCATACTCTACATGCTACTTATAAGTGGCGTCCTCTTAAAAGTAATACTGCAGCCCATCATGCAATGTTCGCTATTTCTATAAGTTCCCAAAATGTATGAACCTAGGCTGAAATTGAGAAATCATACAGTAATTTAGACATTTTTAAGAAGTAGATATGAGAAGATCTATCCCAGCAGTACCTGTTGACTACGGTTAACCACACCAACATAGCCAAGTCGAAGTGGAATCACATTTCCCAGCAGAAAATTTCGTGCATCAGTACCTCTGTCCATTATATCTAGCTGTGAATCGTAAAGGAATAATTAGCTTAGAAAAACAAAAAAAAACACAATTTACCTAATCATAAATGGCACATAAATCCCCTACCTTTGTGATGACACCAATTGTTCGTGAACCTGAAAGGAAGACAATATCAAAAAATTACCTTAGCCAATTTATTTTATTTAGTTTCAAAACAAACAAATCAGTCTAAAAACGTGCAATCGTGATGCCTGAACTAAAAGCATAAAAAAAGCGTCATTATCAGAAATTACCATCTGGGTCAGCAATCCTCGCCATTTGAAGTGCATCAGAATTTGATAAATCTGCATTTGCCGGTGAAACTGCCAATATTATACAAGTTTCATGCTTGATGTATGATAATATCATTGTTCTGATTCTAGCCTCAATGTCATTTGGTTGATCACCAACTGGAACCTTTGTTATTCCAGGCAAATCAACCAGAGTAATATTGAGAACATTAGGCGAAAAAATTTTTAAACGAATTTGCTTGTCCGAAACTCCTTTATTTCCCCCAGCTTCACGGTCTGTTTCAGCCTGTAGGTTTAAGCATCCAATTTCACAAAACAATGGCAGATGGATAAAATGGAAATATAAAAAAAGCCATAAAGTACAAAAGCCAATACAGCACTAAATAGATTTATAAAACGCAAACAAAAAAGCTAAAAGCACAGTTTCAATCACCCAGTAGTCCCAGAAGCAAATTAAAATAAAAATAAAAAAAAAAACTGTATCATTTCACTGTACGGACTATGGAGAAAAAACTCATCAATGCCTTGAAACTTCTGACATGCGAAATCTGAAACAAAAGCTCCATAAACCCACCAGAGCAACATCGCCATCATCAAAGCACAAATTATGCAGAAATCTAGATCTAGTGGCTTTAAAGATTTAAAATACAAAAAAACGGATATAGAAGTGAAAATTAAAAACACCTCTTGTGTAGTAAAATAAGCAGCTTGCGAGGTTTGAGCATGTTCCCGATAAAACATGATAAACAAAGGCGTGAATAATCGAAAATCCTGTAAAGAAAAATGTTACGGCTTATCACCTGAATCTCACGCCGGATCTCCGAGAAGTCGTAGAACCTATTGCCTGGAATGTGCAAGAACTCGCCCCACTCCTCCATGTCTCCAGCAGGTGCATCTTGCTTTCGGGTGAAATGCACGAGTTGCAGCACCAGCGGGCGTCGCGTGCAAATATCGGAACCGCGCGGCAAGAAATCGCGGCCTACCAGCGCCTCCAATACGCTCGACTTTCCACTGCTCTGGCTCCCAACCACCGCCACCTGCGGCAGGTCGATTGTCGACGAGCTCCCCAGCTGCGCAAAGATGTCCTGCAGCTTGTTCACGATTGGAATCACTGAGCTCCCAATCGGTCCCGGCGTCGCCGGCTGGGAGGGAGAGGGGACTGCGTTGGAGCCAGCAACCGTGTCTTCTGCCATTAGATTCTTCCTCCCACTCCTTGATCGGCGGGGACTTAGGCTTCCGAGAAAGCCCGGAATGGTCGAAGATAACAAGCCCTAGAAATCAGAGATCGAAGATCGCTGCATGCGAAACCAAATTTCACTGCGCAGCTCGAATGACTATATTGCCCCGATTTTTAAAACATCTTTTACGGGAGATGAGCGGTTGGGGCTAGAACGTGAGAGAAAAACCCGGAATATTCATATTTATATAATTATTACTTTATTATAGTACTTTTAATCATTATAATTTACATGCATATGCTAATATTTTTATTTATTTATGTATCACACATATATATTTATTTATTTATTTATTTAAAATAAAACACATATTTTTGTAAATATACTTTAATATGATTTAGACTTATATATGTAAATCTAAAATGTTAGATGTTAAATATATATGTTTATAGAAAAGAAGTTTGTGTTATGTATATAAAATCGCTTTCATTTGTTTTATATAGCTTTTGTGTAAATTATCATTAATTAATAATGTTTATATATTTTTTATATCTAGGGGCAAAGTAAATAATATTTCTCGTTGATGCACAAATTAAAAACATCAATCATTTTCATTCAAACTTAGGCCCACGACAACACTATCAAGCCTATGTCCCACTATGTGGGGTCAGCTGCATGAATCTTTTTTTTTTCATTATGCTCAATTAAGAGTCAACCTTTCATTTAAATATAATAAAAAAGTTATTTCTAATATTTTCTAATCAACTCTTTTTAGGTTTACCTCTATGTTGATTAACATATGTCAAATCTGATATATATACTCCACTAATCAGGTCATCAGAACGTCTACATTTTATGTGACAAACTCATCTATGGAGACTCTCTAATATTATTTGCCAATAGAGCTACTCCAACCTTTTCACGTATATACTTGTTTTATATTTTGTTTCTAAGAGTAAAGTCACTCATCTGCCTGAGAATTCTCATCTCTACAACACTTAATTTTCTCTATTAACCCAAGATATGTAAAAAGTGTAATCTTGTAATGAATAGATTACATAAAGTCACAGTCCCCCCACTACATTTAAACTGCTAAAATTACACTCAATGCATTCGATTTTAGTGTGATGTCCTAGATTTATGTCTCATAATCTAAATTGAAAGAATTATTCATTTATCCTTTAAATAAATAAGAAACATAGCTATCTAATATTATCTATCATTAATAAATAACAAAATAGATTATATAATTCAAAACATCAATGTACATATATGTATTTATTTCCAACAATCATATACACTACTAAGAACTATAACAAAAAGAAAAATAATATGAAGAATTCTGACCAATCTCACATTCATGCTCCCCTGCCTTGACCTAAAATTATTTAATCATATATAATGAGTTTAAAAAGCCCAACGGTTCACCAAAACCTATAACTGAATTCAAAGCATGGTAAATAAGCAATATGCATGTCAACAGTCTAATCATAACATTAGCATTCATATGATCATTGAATCATTACAAAAATAATAAAATTCACATGTAGTGATGGTAGAATCTATAATCAATAAAACACTATATTATAAATATAAGTACCCGAATTTTGACTTTGCTAATTTTTTTCTTAAGTCATTATAATTTCAAATCATAAATCATTTTCGCAATGGTATTTTGATTAAAGTATTTTACTTACATGTTTTTTTTTTTAATTTTTAGACACCGGTGAAAATCCTTGAGGAATTTGTACCTGTTGATACAAATGAGGATTTTCGGGGCCTTCATGTGTCTATTTTGCAAACTGATTTCACCAATATTTTTTAAATATTATGATTTATTTTATGAATATTTTTCTACTTTTTTAAACTCCTAAAATGATTTATTATAATTGTATACTAAAAATTTTATTTAATTAAATATTAAAGTATTATTATATTACTATATTAATATAAATACCTTCATGCATTATTTAAAGATTTCTTTTCCCTTAAGTTTCAGCTAAACAAAGAAATGAAAAGTGAAATGTGAGAGAAAGAGAAGAGAGAGAAAAGAGAAACTTGGATTTGGAGGCCGCAGTGTGATTTTTGTCCGTCGGGCCAGTAAGGATAATTGCTCGTTTCGCTATAAAAAATCCATACCCTATTTCTGATTTCAAATATTTTATATTTTTTTTGTATTTTTGTATTTTCCGCTCAAATTTGTGTTTATGGTACCGAAAAACATGAATAACTTTGTATTAGCAAAACTTTCATTACGTAACTTTCTGAATGTATAAAGATCATGATTATGAACATTTTGAGTATTTATTTAAGATTTTTTTACGATGTGATTTTGAAAATACAGTAATTTTTGTCTACTCTAAAATTTATTTTGACCTCTAAAAATAATAGTGTAATAAAATAAAAGTCTTAAAATATCATTTTATAAAATCCCTGATAATTTTCTAAAAATGTATATTTTTGCCTAATATGATTATTTGTTATCTACCATTAATGCATTTTGGTCTATTCTTAATTAGGCTCAATTACGCATCATTTACTACAATGCATTGAAAATTTATGTGGATATGTGCTTGAGCAATAGCTAATCATTATTAGAATTATATTATTATAATAATAATATGTGTATGTGAAACAAATAAGTAAAGTCTGGTTGACCTATTGGTTGGAGACTGATTGACCTGTACATGATTGTGAGACAATAAGCTTTCTTTTAAATATTATGATTTGGTGTTATCATATACTAATTTACGTGATACACTAATTGGGAGTTATAAGGATATTACTACCGTGCTCATGAACAAAGAGTGACGACTCTATTTACTGAGTAAATAATTTACTAACACCGATACTAATGTACACAGAAAAGTACCATGATAGCCAGGACTTACACCTATTTAATGTTACTGAAATGCATGTTCTTGAGGCATTATTCTTATTATTGTATGGATTTACTATTATTGTCAGGGGCGGATCCAGCTTCTTTTTTCAGGGTGGGCAAAAAATAATTTTTTTGTGGGGGATGGGCAAAGATGCTTAGAATTGATTAAATGAGGGCAAAAAAATTTTTTGAGAGGGGGCAAAATACCCATAATACCCAAAATATTTCAAAATATCTCTCTAAAATTAAAAAAAAAAAAAAAATTTAAGGGAGGGCATTTGCCCCCCCTCAACTCAATGAGGATCCGCCCATGATTATTGTGTTATTGCTCCTATCACCGGATTATTACTGTTACTATTATAGACACTGATATTATTTGATACTACTGATTCACTGAACTTATATTAAGCATGTGATGTACTGAGCATGTAATATAAAATAACATAATAGTATGTGTATATTCATATATGATTTTATTATATTGATTGATTTTAATTGTCATTGTTAATATTTTGAGTCAATGCTTTATCCAATGTCTCTATTGATTGGTATTACGAGTATGATGATTATTTTATAAAATTAACACTCGAACTAATTTATTATTTTACTGCTTTAGCACTATAGCATTTTACTATTTATATATTGTACTACTACTACTGCATGTGAATTTTATGGTTTCTGTCTTGATTTAATGATCATATGAAACTGTTATGATTTGATTATTAACAATCATATTGCTCTTTTACTGTTCTTTGAATTTATTTGTAGGTTTTGATGACCTATTAGACTTTTATGCTCATTATATATGGTTAAATGATTTCAATTCATGGTACGGGAGCAAGAAGGGAGCAAGAGTGTGAGACTGGTCAGGATTCTTCAAGTTTTGTTTTTTTTTTTGTTATAGTCATGTGTAGTGTATATGATTTTTGGGAATAAATATAGATGTGTACATTGATATTTTAAATTATAGAATCTATTGTATTATTTATTACTGATAAACAATATTAGATAGCTCTACTTGTTATATATTTAAAAATTGAAAAAAATAATTTTTCCAAATTAAATTATGGGGCATTATAACGAAGGTCAATAAAGTAGTGAACCAGTATAAATGTCAAGTTCATAAATTAATCATGTTGCCGCAATAGAATAAAATATCAAATCAAAATAAAGACTATAAAATTAAATTAATGTAGTAAACATATTGTCACGACCCGACCCGACCGGGACGGATCCCGCCCGCACCAGGCCGCGACCAGCCAAACGAACAGATCAGGATCTGGCTTTGGAATTTGCTTCGGAACTGATTCTTCCAAATATTTCAACTCAAAAACAAACACACAGAGCTACTATGAAACATCAAATGCAGCGGAACAAATCATCTATATTTTTCTTTTCCTCAAAACAATCATCTACAAATACAGTACATGACTGACAGAAAGAACAAAGAAGAAAAGACATGACTGTACAAAAATCAAAAAGTACAAAAATACCTATAACTGATCAGACTCTGAATTCTAGTCCAAGATCTCCTTCCCTTTCCCAGAACCTGAAAACCACCAGAAAACAAGGGTGAGCTCAACAGCTCAGCAAAGCGACAAACTTCCAATCAAAACTTTCAGAATCCAAAACCAACCACTTCAAACCAAATATGTACAGAAACCAGAACAGAATCAGATAGATATCAAAATCGTGCAGATCAAAATGAAACAGATCAAATCAGAATAGATACAGACATATATCAAATCTATCAAATCAGAACAGATTAGGATCAAGGCCCCTTATAACTCCCTTTTTATAACATATACATATAGCATATCAATTCAGAAGAAATTCGGACGAATTCAGAAATCAGACAAAAATTGGGCAGCACAACGGCTGTATACGAAATTTACACAATTTTTCTGAAAAAATCACAGAATACCAAATTTGCACATAATATAAATAACAACATTGCAAGACTTTAATTCTATTGCCACAACATTTTTAGACATCGTAGAAAAATATAGTCGAAATAAAATTCCACCGTATTCAAAATACCCAGACAAAAATCTCCAGAAAATAACCAAAATGTGCACACTAGGCACGCAACAACATACGAAAAATTACGCGGTTAAAACTGAACCAGACGGGAAATACGGACGAAAATCACTAACAAAAATCAATTCCGGACAGATAATACCGCCAAACACGACGGTTCTGAAAATTGAGAAAGGCGGATTGTGTCTTACCTTGCGTACAGCAATATCTTGAACAATCTCGTCGGACAAAAACGGACCGGC